CAAATGTTCATTCATTAACTTTATGATAACTTTTTGTTTAAATTTCCAAATAAAATTTAATTTTCAAGTTTGAAATTCTGGATTTTTAAAATTTTTTTTGTGATTTTAAATTTTTTAATAAAAGAAATCGAAACTAAAGAAACGAAAAATATTATTTTTATTTCTGAACGCCAAAAAGTCTGCTTTGGATTTTAATTCATACTTCTCAAGTTTGAAATTTTTTTGAATATTTTTGTGATTTCAAATTTTTTAATAAAAAAAAAATCGAAACTAAAAAAACGAAAAATATTATTTTTATTTTTGAACGCCAAAAAGTCTGCTTTGGATTTTAATTCATACTTCTCAAAAATTGGCTCGTTAATTTTTGAACGCCTAAAAGTATGCTTTAAGTTTTTTTAATTGCATCATATATAAATATGTTTTTTTTTTGGAAATGTTATCCTTCCAGTTTCTAGTTAGTTTTTTTGATGCCTAAAAGTATGCTTATATTCTTCTCTCAATTATTTTCTTTCTTTCTGTTTTAATAATTCTAATGGGCTTTTCAAACATTTCTAAAACAAATAATTCTTTATAAAAAATATTTCTAATAACTAAAGAGTATTGTTGTAGTTTTTTGAATTAAAAAATAAGTTGACTTTTTAAGCAATTGCTGCTTAAGAAAAATATATAAAAAAGTAGATGTTTTACAAAAATATAAATACATAATTATATATTCGATAAATAATAAAAAATCTATAAAAATAAATTTCAATCACAGTTGTTTTGGGCGGAATTAAAAAGATTTAAAAAAAAATGTATGTATGTATGAGTATATATATTTAATATATATATATATATAAAACAAATGTTGTTGTTTGTGTGTGTGTATGACAAGGTTGGTTTTAAAATCGTTGCGATTTGGAAAAAAAGAATAAAAAAATATTTAAAAAACAGATGTTTGTGTTTTTCTTTCTTTTATAAAGAAAATTTGTCGTGTGTATGACACAAGTTTTCGTGTTACCGGTTTCCTTATAAAGAAAAAACAAATTAATAAAAATTGTATTTTTTTTAAATTATTTGAAATAATCCGTATTTTATACTTGAGTATTATTGCATGATTAAATTTTTTTCCCAATGGAATATAGTTTAGTTTTTAAATTTTTTGTTTTTGTTACTTTATGTTGGTAGTTGTTGTTGGCATTTTGTTGTTTGTTTTGTTTTGTTTCTTCCTAAAAGTGACTAGATTTAGTTTTGTTAGTTATTGTTGTTGTTGTGGTTGCAGTTTGTTAAAAAAATATATATGTGTAGTATATTTATATTCGGCTTTTATTTGAGGTTAAACGTTGTTATTGTGTAGTTTACTTCTTGTTGTATTTTTTGTTGTAAATTATTCATATATATAAATTAATATTTATATATAAAAATATAATTTATATATAACTCTGCTTGTCTGTCACAATTTGTATTTTTTAATATATATTACACGGATTTGTATAGAGTGGGTTTTTTCTTTTTTTTAAGAGCTAAGTCTATATAAAATGGCTTAAAGAAAAGTCAGTTAATAAAGTTGTAGAACGCTTGACGCCATGACTATATATAGTTATCTTTAGGAATGTATGATTGTTGTTGCTTTTTACAATTAATTAAAATTATTTTTAATTTTTTTTACACAAATATTCATAGAATTTTTTTCAGGTGTAAATCTAATTTACCATCATATAATGATGATGTTCGGGTTTAAGTTTGTCACCTAGTATAGATGACATTAACAAAAATATAATAATATTTTTCCCTGTATTTTTTATGGTTGCCATACCTATTTTAGGGTCTTATGCCTAAATGTATGCTTTAATAAAAATTCATTGAACATTCTAGCATATATATATATATATATATATGTATGCAACTAATAATACTGTCACGTTGTTGCATATACTGTTCTGTTCTATTTCTTGTTCTTATCACGATGACACTTACCAGCAGGCATCCTAAAACTATGCTATATTAATATTAGGCAAAATCGATTTTTGTAAAAGATCGTTTTGCTTTTGTTAAATAAATGCCTTAGCCTAAGGTCGAGTAATCACACATATACAAAATTAAATATATAAAATTGTACTTTGTAATTACTTGAAAAAGAATGATGGCCCGCCATCTGATAAGTTCAAAATCACCCATTGAGGGATTTTTGCAGACAAAGATCAACAAAATTTGTCTTGTCTCAGTTGTTAGGTTTTTTTCCTGTAAATATTTTTCCAATAAATATTTTTGTATACAATTTCCCGTACCGCTTGATTTTATTGCCGACACACCAAAAGGTATGCAATATTATTTTTCAAATATTTATTCCGGCTCAGAATGTTTTCTCTCGCTTCTATTATGTCTGGTTGACACTTGGTAACCCTTGGCCACATTTGAATGGTATGATTGTCCAAACTTCAACATGTCTTCAAAATGTTCCTCAAATTCGTTGAGATCAGCTGTTTTGCTATATGACATGCCTAACAGTAGGCAATGATTTCTTTGTATATGCTTTGATTTTGTTGAAATAATTGTGTGAAATTATTTTTCTCGAAAAATTCTAGAAATCAGCTGTTAAAAAATTTAATTAAAATTTTTACACTCTAAAGCATTTCAAAACGATGTGCCAAAAAGTGAGCAACATTTTCAAAATTGACAGATGAGCCAAAAAGTGTGCCATATAATTTTTTTAATGTCAAAATATAAAAAAAAATTTGGGGTAAACCTTTACCGTATGCCTAAAAGTATGCATACATTTTCTTTAATTCGTCAATATCTAAAATATTTTTTGATATCTAAAACATTTTTTGATATGTCGAAAAATAGCTGTGTAATAAATGTCACTCCAAAAAGTATGCAATCTTTTCTTCACTATCATATGTTAAATATTTGACAATATTTAGCATCAGCTGATTTAAGTTTTCAGTTTTAAAATCAGTTGCATTCCTTGTGGCGCGCCTAAAAATAGGCACAATTTTTTGCATTGTTGATGCAAAATTCTTCTTTGTAATTTTTGAAAAAAAATATATATTTTCAAAAATATCCGAACTTGAATTTTGGCGCGCCTAAAAATAGGCACCATTTTTGGCATTTTTAATATTTCACTTCAGAACGTGGATTTTTCAAAGCAAAAAAAAAAATATTTTTTCCAAGAATATTCAAGCGTAGATTTTTGAAAATATTTTTTCTAAAATTTTCAATAAAAAATTCGTTAATCATTTTTTTTTTTCAATATATCCAAGAGGTGAATTTAAAAGAAAAAGCAATCGTTTTTTAGAATAAAAAAAAAATCCAAGAATATTTACAGCCTGTTTTTGTAAAATTCCAAACGAACGAATTCGAGTGACTTACGACCAAACTCCTTGGTTTTGAAAAATATGTCATTTATTTTTGTTTTGAATCAGAAAACATTTATAAACATAAAAAAGGTTTGGTCGTAAGTTTTTTTTTGGAATTTTTTGTTAATATTGACTAAAATGGACTTAAAAAATAATTTTTGAAAATTAAAAAAAAATGTATTTTCAAAAATATCCATATATATATATATATATATATATATATATCAAGTATTGGACTAAAAAATTGTTTTAAAAAAATTTTTTTTAAAGTAATTTTCAAAAATATTCTTTTTTGAACTTTAAAAATAATATATTATTATTATTATTATTTCAAAATTTCTAATCTTGGATTAGAAAATCAGTTGTTGGACCATTTTAAACAAAACTTTAAAAATAAATCTATGTCTTTTTTTAAATTTGTTGAAGATAAAATTTTTCAAAAATCCCAGCTTGGTTTTTAAAAAAATATTTTTTCCAAGAATATTCCTGGAAAAGGTATTTAACTTCTTTTTTGCCCACGCTAAGATAATTTCGATCCTTTAACAAAACCTGTTTTCAGCTGATCTCTCCTTCTTTCATAATCTGTAGAATTCTCAAGGTCCATATTGCGAAGACTCAATTTTTTCATTCGAAGAAAATTCTAAATAAAAAAAATTATATAAATCAATTTCTTTACAAGAATTTTCTTAGAATGAAAAAATTATCTCCCAAAAGTATGCAACATTTTTTGGTTGTAGTTATTGTTTTTAACACCAGCCCCCTAAAAGTATGCAACCATATATTAAATTTGGGTCTCATTCTTCACATCATCAAATTATTGGTGGTTCTGCAGCAACACATTTCTCAAAAAGGTAAAGCGTTTAACGACGTCATTTTTTAATAACTGACTTTTTTGTTTATAAAAAAAACATTTGGGAGGAAAATTATACACCGGTCTTTTAGAAAAAATAACATTTGTATTAAAAATCTCGTTTTAAAATAATTTCCACCACAAAAAAATCTTCATAGATCTGCGAGTCGATTGAAATGTATTTTTATAAAAAATATATAAATATCGCAAATATAATGTATTTATTAGAGGGTACGGCAAGGTCAGAATGAGAATGATAATGTTGTAAATTATTAAAATTACTAAAAATGGAGAGGGTCCCCATTTTTAGCATTGTTTATAATTTTCAGACATAACCACTTCGGCTGACCTGTCAATCTCCTTTTAATTTTCAAACAGAATGCCAAAAAAAGATCAACTTACATTTTTTCCATTTACTCTTTTTTTCTTTGTCTCCTTGAAGGGGAGGAGAAGGGAAATCTCCTCCCCTTTTTTTGGAATATTTTTTTCATCCTCTTTTTTTGGGGGGAATACCATTAAAAGTATGACCTTTTTTGTATTTGTTCATCTTGTCAGAAATCTACTATTAACGAAAACGAATACCTTTCAGTTTTGTGTTGAGTTGAGGGGGTTTGGTTTGTTGTTGTTTTTGTTGTATTATTATTATGAAACCTTGATGATGAAAATTGTCACTTGTGGCCACCGGTTATCAGATGATGGTAACAGTTGTTGTAGCAGCCCTGCTGCTGCTTTTAAAGAGGTACCCATTTTGCAGAGATGGTACCCAGTTGTCGCTGTTGCGGTTGCTTGGCTGTTGCTGTTGTTGTTTCTTGTTGCCATTTACGTATGCGAATTATAGCTTTTATGATGTTTCAATACAGCAGCCGGATCCATAACATAATTATTGGCCTCGGCCAATTGCATGGGCAATGGAGGCAATTTATCATTTGGATGACGGTGGGGTATCGAAGTTTTACGTGTCTTGGTTAGTTGGCCAGTTGGGACGCTGGTACTAGTCGAGGAAGTGTTATTGGTCAGGGCCTTAGCCACTGAGGTGGTTGAAGAAGCTGCAGGTGGGGTATTATTATTATTACCCGCTCCTGTACTGGCATTGATATTACCATTAATTTCCAAACTACTACCAGGTGGTGTAGAACTTGTCGAACCACTGGAACCACCACCTGAATCCTTTGATGTTGCTGGTTTTGAACCTTTATTATTGTTCGTCGGTGTCAAAACTTTGGTTTGCTTGAGCAGCGAACGATCATTGCATAGAGCCGATATCAAGGGCAGATCCAAGTGCTTACTTTTCTCCCTCAGCAAGGCTATATCAAATTCGCTGGGTGGGGTTTGACCACCAGCTCCACCACCACCACCACTTGATATCGATGTGGCAACTCCATTTGATTGTGATGCAGCCAAGGCTGTACGACTGGCCTGCTGTTTGGCCGCTTGGACTGAGGCCTGAAGCTGGGCAATAATATTGCTTTCTTGACAGCGTCCCAGGAGCAAATCATGTTTGGGTCTTTCGCCAGCCCATTGGGCGCCACTTGAGGTCTTTGTCATATGGCTATTAATGCCGCGTGGAACGCTCAGCGTTATGGGTTTGCGTGGGGGTAATTGACTGCTACGAAAAGCTGACATTGAATCCTGTTGTAAATGCTGCTGCTGACCTGCTGTTGCAAGGTTCAGGTTGCTGGTAGTTTGGCTTAAGGGTGAGGGTTTGGAGGGTACTGAAAAAGAAGAAGAAAAAAATTAATATTCGGAATAAAAAAGGCGTCAATTTTTGAAGAATATTTTTTTCAAGGGTCCACAAGAAGTGTGGATTTTTTTTTAAACATTTTTAGGGGTTCAAAAACCAGGCGTGGATTTTTCAAAGAATATTTTTTGGGGTTCATAAGAATATTTTTAGGGATCATTAACAATGCTTGGATTTTTTAAAGAATATCTTATAGGATCTTTAACAAGGCGTGGATTTTTTAAAGAATGTCTTAAGAGATCCTTAACAAGGTGCGGATTTTTTAAAGAATATTTTTAGGGGTCCCAAACAAGGCGTGGATTTTTTAAAGAATATTTTTTAGGGTCCTTAACAAGGCGTGGATTTTTTAAAGAATATTTTTTGGGGTCCTTAACAAAGCGTGGATTTTTTAAAGAATATTTTTTTGGGTCCTTAACAAGGCCTGGATTTTTTAAAGATTTTTTTTGGGGTCCTTAACAAGGCGTGGATTTTTTAAAGAATATTTTTTGGGGTCCTTAACAAGGCGTGGATTTTTTAAAGAATATTTTTTGGGGTCCTTAACAAGGCGTGGATTTTTTAAAGAATATCTTTGGGGGTCCTTAACAAGGCGTGGATTTTTTAAAGAATATATTTGGGGGTCCTTAACAAGGAGTGGATTTTTAAAGAATATCTTTGGGGGTCCTTAACAAGGCGTGGATTTTTTTTGTCTGCAATAAGGACTAGATTTTTTAATGAATATTTGTATGGGTCTACAATAAGGAGTAGATTTTTTAAAGAATATTTTTAGGGGTCTACAATAAGGAGTAGATTTTTTAATGAATATTTTTAGGGGTTTTTAACAAAGAGTAGATTTTTTAAAGAATGTTTTCAAGGGTCCCTGAAGCCCGATATATTCTTTAAAATGATCTTCCTCTGTTATTGGAGTAAAGATGTGATTCCCTCCCCTTTCCTACTCACTTGGTGGCGGCTTCTCCGTTGGCGTCGGCATCGGAGGTTTCTTCAGACGCCTATCCACATAGGGTGGCGGCGGCGGAGGCGGCAATCGTTTCACTTTCGGCAACGAATCCAACGTATTCAGAATATTATCGTCTGAACGTGATCGGCCGAACAGTGATGCCGTCGATGTTGAACCCGCAGAAACTGTCACGGCGCCAGGATGTAAAGGCGGCGGTGGTGGTGGTTCATATGATGAACATATACTGGCCATCGAGGGCGAATACATGGGCGAATAGGCGGCGGCGGCACTTGGTAGTTGGACATAGGTGTCGGATAGATTTTGTGTTGAGGCATAACGCGAATGTGTGGTCAAGGCCAATGGCAGATAGGGGGTGCTGCGATAAATCGCATGACCTTTACAGGCCTCATATGCCTGATGGTGATGATGGGAGACTGCAGCGGCTGCGGCAGCATGATGATGATAGGCTGCAGCTGCCAAATAGGGGTGGTGGTGATGGTGGGCGGCATGTGAGGGCGGCGGCGGAGGTGGTGATTGAGCCATGGCTGCCAACATAGAGCCCTGTTTGGCATCTAAATATTCCTGTTGACTGACGGCCGGATCTTGCAGCGGATAGATGACATAGTCCACATCACTGTACAGTTGTTGTTGATAGAGTTCCAGTTGTTTGTGGGCCAGTGGGTTGGCGGTGGTGTAGAGGCTGGCCAATTGGGTTGGTGGTGGAGGCGGTGGTTGCCTGGGTAGTGAGGGTGGTGGTGGCGGCAAATATTGTCGTGGCTTGATGACAGGGAGGAGAACACATGTCCTTGGGGTGGGTTGCTTCAATTCCGAAGGGTATGGTGGTGGTGGTGGCGGAGGCTGTTGCTGGTGGTGATGATGATGGTGGTGGTGCAGCGAGGACATGGATTTGTGACCACCATGTAGGGAGTATGGGTGGTGTAGCGCTGGCATACCACCACTCAATGAGTTGGGTAATCCACCTCCTGCTTGATGACCCATTGAGGTCACCGACATGGTGGACGAATGGGTAGGTGTTGTAGGGGTGGAGGCCGCATGCAACTGCATGTTCAGCGATGCCTGTGAACCGCTAACATAATTGGAATTAGGAACCGATAATTGTGACAAATGACTGGGTAGATGATGGCTACACACAGACCCGGTGGATGAGGCAGCGGAGGAACAATTGGTCGGTGCTGCATAACTCGGCTTCGGATTCTCATTCACGACGGATGTGTGGGCCTTGAGAATATTTATTTGTGGCCTTGTGGTTATAAAACGGGCGGTAATTTCTTCGGATTTCAAGGATGTCATTGATCCGCCAACATTGGGATAGCCATTGGCTGGCGCTTGATTGAGTGAGGAACTTGAAGAGGCAACAGAAATGAGAGAGGTTGGTCGTGGTTTCGTGGCCAAGGGGTAGGGTGGTGGATTGCGTCGCTTAATGACTGTGGGTCCCGCTGGCGCACCCACTATGGGAGGTGTGGGTGGTTTGGGTGTGTTCATTATTTTCGGTAGTGGTTTAGATTCCGCAGACGATGGCACATGACTGGTGGAGGTAGTTTTCCCAGAGGCCAAAGGTGGCGGTGGGGCCACTGCTGGTGGTAAGGTGGTCGATGTAGTTCCTCCAGAATTCAATGTGGATGTTGTTGTTGTTGTCGTGGTGGTAGACCTTATGGGTGGCCCACACAATCCAGTCGTCTTATGCCTCGCATTATAGGGTGGCGGCGAACGCATTTGTATATTACTCAAACTGGGTATGTTGCTATCGACCCGCTTAGGTGGTGCTGGAGGATCGGTGGGCAATAGATCGCTAATCAAATCTTCCACATGATCTTCTGTGGGTGCAGTATCTTGATGGCCTTGGATATAAGATTCCCCCGACATCGACAGAGGCAATGTGACATAATCGCAATCCGAGTCCAGGGTATTCGATACCGTCTTACGATTCGGATATGACCCGCGACCCACAATCAACTCCGTCAACTCTTCGGCCGAGAGCAGGGAATGCTTGTTGTCGGTGGGATCACTGCCATCACCACGGAACGAGTCACTGGTGCTGACATTCGAATCGGAACGTAAACGAAAATCGGAATTTTTCAAACGTTTACCACGATAGGTGGCGAGGCCACCTAATCCTCCGGCGGAGGCTTCCCCTACTCCGCTGTGTCCCCCTCCTCCTCCATCTACGGAGTCTTGTAGCTTATGCTTCACTTCACTGCCGCTTCCGCTGGCCGGTTGAAAAATGCCATAATGGGAACTTTTTTCCGATTCAGCCATTTCTGAAGATTGGCCGGTCATTTCACTACTGTGCATGGTGTACACACCTGAGGTTTCGGTAGGGGCCACTGCATGGGCCAAGGTATACACCCCCGAAACACTTTCATTTTCATCCTGATTGGACGACGCGGCAATAAAATCATGATCGATACAGGTCGATTCCGGTTCGGATAGGGTGGAATTTTGTGCCGTGTGACTGAAACCCAATTCCAAACTGGATGATGTGGAATTTTTCCGTTGATGGTGATGATGATGATGATGCGGCGAATTGGAATCGGAAGAATTCAGAACACTTGAGCGCACTGCCAAGGTGGCCAGGGAATTGTTGTTGTCATTTGCTGTGGAAGATGCCACAACTACGGTACTGCAGGTCGAGGAACATTGTGAGCCAATGTTGTGCTGCGAAGAGGGGGAATCTGTCGATGAGTCGGTATTATTACGCTGGCTTCCTGCGGCCATGGGAACTGGTAGCGACGAACCACTTGTCGAGGTGGAATTTCCCGCCGAGGAGGTATTACTCAATTCCGTTGGAGATTCTCTCTGCTTCTGGGCTTGACGCACCGTCAAGGCCGCCAGCTGTTCTTCCAAATCCTTTAGAGATACCTGCCCTACCGAAGATGTTTGCCTACTAACACTGGGTCTATCCAGCAAATGGGCCAATGCCAAACTTTCCGTCGACGGAGCAGCAATGGGAGCCGGTGGTGAATTAATCATTATCTCCAGCTCATCTTCCGAATGCACCCGATCACTGACAATACCCGAAGTGGTATTGGAACTGGTACTCGATATAACCGATATCCGTTGATCGCTTTTATTTTTATAGGTCGGCAAATGAAGGCTACGCGAGTAGACGTAACAGGCATGCAGGCAATTACTTTCCTCCTCCTCACGCTTAATGACCTCCTTAAGGCGTGCCGCTATTTTCATACTGAACTGATGCGTTTCCTTGCATAGGGTCAACAGCATTTTATTCTTCTCATCCGAAGTGGCGAACAGGGTGATTTTACTTTCACCCGATCGAATTTCGAATTTTTTACGTTCGAAGGAGAGTTTTGTGATATTTGGCCATAGGAAGGTTATCTGCTGCTGCTGTCCATCCGGACCGGTGGCACCTCCGAAAATTTTTATACCCTTAGCGTAGACCACAAACCATGAATTTCCTGGACCCAACTCATTTTTGCTCATACGCATACGAAACGTGTGGGCATTGATGCATTCGTTGACCAAACAGGCTTGCTGGATGTAATGGAGTTCTGCATCGGCCTGTGACAGGCCACGATTTTCACGATGGCAGGCCCTTAGAGCACTGGCAGCCCAGGCTGTCCTCAAATGTTCGGGCAGATAATCTTCTAAACGAAAATAATCCGCACATGAAGAGCTGGCATTTGTTGAAACTGTCGAAGCATTCGTGGAGGCATTGCTGGGACCTCGACTAATCGATGATGCGGACGAGGAAGAGGGTGAGAGTGGTGATTTAACTGCTGACGAACCAATAATCCGCTTCAAGCCATCCATACCCGTTGCTGATGGATGGTCCCTGGAGCTTGAGGCCATATAACTGGACAAACGTAATACCCGCTCATTTACCATATTAGCACGTTTACTAATCTTTGGCAAGGTTGTAGTGCTGCTGCTCGTCCCGGTTTTATTTCCCTTCGCTTCTCCATTGTCCTGTTTCGTAGTATTGTCACCTTGGCCACTGTCGCTGGAAGTTTTACAATCACCACCTGTTCCACCATTGTTGTTATTTCCACCACCATTGTTGTTATTGCCGCCGCCGCTCGTCGGAGCATCACCCAAATCCGCCTGCAATGCCAAACCCGCCAGCAATATCATCGACTGTTCCGCATATTCTCTTGGTATGTCACGCTGTAGGGCATTGTATTTTAATTGGAGATAATAGTTGTGTCGCGTCGTCTCATCTTTTAACATGAACGGGCTCTCGATATAGAATTGCACCCGAAAGTGCAGCTCCAACAAAGGGCGACCATTGGCATCGAGACCCTGTAATAAGTAATTGCGGGTTAATAAAATATTAGACATGCAATTTCATTGCGACTTACATGTGTGTGCGAGGAACGCCAACTTTTTGGACCATATTTGGATAGTTTGCTCTCGGGATCGGCAAACATGTATTCGCCATCTGGAAGGATAAGAAAAAAATTAAGGATAAACTAGATTAAAAAATAAATTAAGAATGAGAGAAATAAAAAATAGAAAAATTAATAAATTAAAAAAATATATATTTTTAAAAACCAGTGAGCGGAGCAGTAGTCGGACGCGGCCGACCATACGATACCCTACACAACTACCACATAACTCTATATTTCTGCGGATTTTATTCCGAGCCTGGGTAATATTTCCTTATAGTTGCACCCACTTGCTCTTGCCCTCTTGGTACTTTGGTGCACTATTTACCTAAAATCGGACGAAAATATATATGGGAGCTATATCCAAAACTGAACCGATTTTCAGGAAACTTGACACACATCATTCTAGACCTAATTCATTACGCTGTGCCAAATTTCGTGCAAATCGGAAGGAATATAGGGACTTTGGTACACCATTTACATTAAATCGGACGAAAATATATATGGGAGCTATATCCAAATCTAAACCGATTTTCACGAAACTTAACACACATCATTCTAGACTCAATTTAGTGCACTGAAAAAAATTTCTTGCAAATCGAAAGATATATAGGGACTTTGGTGAACCATTTACCTTAAATCGGTCGAAAATATATATGAGATCTATATCTAAATCAAAGCCGATTTTCAAGAAATTTTATACACATCATTCTAGACTCAAGTCAGTACGCTATGCCAAATTCCGTGCAAATCGAAAGATATATAGGGACTTTGGTACACCATTTACCTTAAATCGGTCGAACTTATATATGGGAGCTTTATACATCATTCTGGACTCAATTCAGTACGCTATGCCAAATTTCGTGCAAATCGGAAGATATATAGGGACTTTGGTGAACCATTTACATTAAATCGGTCGAACTTATATGGGAGCTATATCTAAATCTAAACCGATTTTCAAGAAATTTTGCACACATCATTCAAAACTCAAGTCAGTACGCTATGCCAAATTTCGTGGAAATCGGAAGGTATATAGGGACTTTGGTGAACCATTTACATTAAATCGGTCGAACATATATGTTAGGAGCTATATATAAATCTGAACCAATTTTCAAGAAATTTTACACACATCATTCTAGGCTCAAGTCAGTACGCTATGCCAAATTTCGTGCAAATCGGAAGGTATATAGGGACTTTGGTGAACCATTTACATTAAATCGGTCGAACATATGTGTGGGAGCTATATCTAAATCTAAACCGATTTTCAAGAAATTTTACACACATCATTCTAGACTTAATTCAGTACGCTATGCCAAATTTCGTGCAAATCGGGAGTTATATAGGGACTTTGGTAAACATTAAATCGGACGAAAATATATATGAGAGCTATATCTAAATCTGAACCGATTCTGAACTTGGACAATATTCCCCGATATTTGCATCCTCTTGACCGACTAGAGGTCAACAAATATTACTAAAATTCAGTACAGCCCTTCTAATTACTTGTTCAGATTCCCTTCGCCGTGGGTTGTGTTGTTATGTTCGGCTTTCAATCGAAAAGATTAGTTTTCGGTCCACTTCATTCCAATATTGTTATCACCGTAAACCAATTTAAAGGCCAACCACTCCTCTTGGATATACTATCAACTTCTCGGCTCTATGTCCTTCAGGAGTAAATATATTCACCATAGAATACAAATGTTGTAATTTTTCACACAAAAGTCAGGTTCCATTTGACAGATCTTTATCAAAACAGGCATGCTTATACTTTGGCTCGATTGGGCCATAATTGCAGCCTCTGGAGCGTCCAGAAAAACCGCCAAAAATTAGATATTTGGTCCATTTCATCCCCTAAATATTAACCGGCCTTTACCAAAAACAATAGGGGTCTTCATTGGGCAGAACCCATCCTACATGCAAAATTTCGTGAAGATTGTTCCATAACTGTGGCCTGTATCGTGTTTACAAATTATAATGGACAGACGGACGTACACACATGTCTAGATACACTCAGCTAGTCGAGATATGACGATCGGTAGACTTAAAGGTGGGTCTAGGACCAATATTTCGCGTCGTTACAAACCCTTGGGAATGCACAAAGTTCTTATACCCTGTGTGTAGGGTATAAAAATTGAATAAAACATTAAGATGTTTTTTTTTTTAACGATATAAAAAATTAAAAATATCTGGTTTTATAAAAAAAATTTTCAATTTTTTTTTTGAAAAAAAATTGTAAAAAAAAAATCCACGACTATGCCTTAAATGTTTTCCTGAAAAATATTTTTTTTAAAAGTCTACGATTGATATTCTTCCTAAAAATATTTTTTTAAATTCACGGCTTGTTAACCTTTCCAGTTTCTTTGAATCCAAACATTGGTAAATATTTGAAAATATTTTTTAAAATATCCAGACCTCGTTATGTTTTTAATTTTTTTAAAAACATTTTGTAAAAAATCCACTACCTCATACACTCCGCTATGGGGTGAGATCTCATAAAACTTAAAAAATAGTTTTCTTTTCAATTGTGTACAACACGTGAGTGTTGTGTGTATGTGTGTGTATGTGTCTATAAAAAAACTTTTTTTTTATGATGATAATGACATTTTCGTCAAACCGCCGGCAAACAGCGGGGGAGTTGGGATTATCTGTTATGTTGTTGTTGCTGTTTTTTTTCTCTCCCCACCCCCACCCGCTGTCAGTTTGTGGTAATTTCTGCTACATGTATTTTTTGTTCGGTTGTTTATTTTTTGACATTAAAAGCTTTGAACGATCCGTTTTAAAGGTCGGTCATGCCCTTGAGATTATAATCTCTCGATGTTAATGTTGTGTTTGTTTTTTGTTGTTGTTATTGTTGTTGGTTTTTTATTAATTTGTTGTGGTAACGTGTCTCCGTTGATCTGTCTGTCCTTCTTTCGATCTATGCACGTGTAGCTTTTTTAAAAATAGATGTGGATGGCTTTAGGTATTTTTTTTTTTTGAAACACAAAATGCTGCCTCGAAGAGGTGACCTGTTGTGACATGCACACTCGCACTGACATAATATTGAAATAATTTGAATTAAAAAAAATTTTGGTTTTTTTTTTCTTTCTTTGTAAAAAGGAACCCTGGAAAAAATCGTTCCTTAAAATTTTTTAATTACCGGAAATGAGATTGGTTTTCAAATTAATTGGGCTATTTTGCAAAAATCAATATTTCACACACACACAAATCCAAACCATATAATTATAGACAGACATATAATTATAGAAACAGAATAAATACAAGAAACAATTCTCTTAAAAAAAATAAGTTTTTCGAAAATTATCCTCTTCCGCCACACCAGGGAATTTCTAATTCCAATCTCACATATTCTTCTTCTTCTTCTTTCAATGGCTAACAAATCGAATCACATTATCCCTGGCCTTACAGACTCAGCGACGAAGCAAACTCTTGTCTGAAGGGTATTTGTGTGCATTCCAGAAAAAAGGTAAAACTATTTGCAGTACAACAATAACAACAAACCCGATTGCCGGAAAAAGATGGCATTTTCAGCAAACCAAAAAAAAAAATTTTTTTTCAGTGGACAAAAAAATAATCACACCTGCCTTTTTGGCAAGGCAAAAACAACAACAACAGTCCACATACATACATACATCCAAACATAAAATATATTTCTGTTTGTATGCATCGATGGCCCTCCTTGCAAGTCACCAGCTATTCGGGGATATTTGCTAAGTAGGCAGAATTTTCGATTTTTGGAGCCCCAACTGCACAACAACAACAATGTATGTTGTAAGCAGTTTTGTTTGCTTCGTGTTTTTGTTGTTGGTGTTGTATTTTTCACCATCTCATCCTCCACTAAGTTATTTCCCAATCAAGATTTTCTCTAACCTGTTTCACGGTTTTGGGCATCATCATCAAATTTCGGGTGACAAAAACCGGCACAAGCCTTAAAAAAAGTCAATGTGGTTTGAAGAGGATAATAATGAGAATCCTTTATAGAGGCGTGGATTTTAAAAAAAAAATTTTTAAGGGGGATGATAGATACCAAGCAACGGTTCTGATTGGCTTTAATATGGCGAAGTCCAGGCTTATCTTGGTCCCTCTTTCATCTCAAGTGTGGACACTGACCTCCCAACGGTGTCACCTGGGGTAGATATTTTCATCACACGCTGAAACAGTGAGCTGATATGTGCCGCTAGTTCACCCAGAAGAACTATAAAAAAATAGGTTGAGGCATCGGAATAGTTGCCCACACTCGGAAAACCAAATCTGCTATGGACACTGACCTCCCAACGGTGTCACCTGGGGTAGCTATTTTCATCACACGCTGAAATAGTGAGCTAATATGTGCCGCTAGTTCACCCAGAAAAACTATAAAAAAATAGGTTGAGGCGTCGGGATAGTTGCCCACACTCGGAAAACCGAATCTGCTATGAAAAAGCAAAACAGAAGACAAATTAAACAAAACCTCCCAATATTGACGACCCCTGCAAACGTATAACGGACCAGGATCTGTGAATCTGAACTTGGAATGTGCGCACCTTGTACAGAACAGGCGCAGTGTTCGCTTTGGCGGATGTACTCAAGAAGTACAAAGCCGATATTATTGCCTTACAGGAAATGCGATGGAAAGAGGCGGGCGTAAGTAAATCAAACGAATGCGCATTGTATTATAGCTGCCATGAAATGAGACATGAATTTGGCTGCGGATTTATGGCCAACAGGAGAATAAAAGACCTCGTCTCCAGATTCACTCCACTAGATGAGGGAATTGCTACAATCCGTAGAAAGCGAAGCTCTTCTACATCAGTCTCATTTGCGCACATGCTCCGACCGAAGACAAAGATGAACAGACGAAAGACATATTTTACGAGTGCCTAGAAACAGCATATGACCGCTGCCCTGGCCATGACATTAAAATTCTAAAAAATTTAATGCAAAAATCGGAAGGGAAAATATCCCCACCGTCGGAAAATTCAACCTCCATGAAGAAACATCCGACAACGGCATGAGATTGATAAACATTGCGACAGCAAAAAACATGGTAGTTAGCAGCACCAGATTCAAGCAT